CCTCACCAGCCTTCGGAGTGTCATGGTGTGGTCGGATTACCTGCTGGAGGGGGTTCTGGAGGGGAATGAGGCCCTGGGGCTGGAGGGGGGGTTGGGAGGAGGAGGTGTGCATGGGCATTTCCAACACGGTGGCGGCTGGATGATGCATGGCGGCGGCGGCGGCGGCGGCGGGGGATTTGGAGGTGGAGGAGGAGGAGGAGGGGGCCCCGGACACCTTTATCATCATCACCACCACCACCACCATCAGCAGCAACATCAACATCATCATCATCAGGTGGGGCTATATATGTATGTATGTATGTATGTATGTTTGTTTGTTTGTTGTAAGGAACTAAGCCACAGCCACAGGTAATGCGTGTTAAGTGCCTTGCATGTGGCTTACATTTCTGAGTGCGATGTGTAGTCGGGAATGGGGGAACATCTTATCATGCGGACGCCTCCACAGGCGTGCCATCGTTAGTGCCATCGTTAGTGCCATCGTTAGTGCCATCGTTAGTGCCATCGTTTCGGTGCACCATCTGAGGCAGTGCTCTTGGAGACGGATGGTGTTGGTGGTGTTGCAACTGATCAAAGATGTTTTGATCACTTTTGATCGTTCCAAACCATTGTTGACAGAGATGGTAATGGTAATGGTAATGGTAATGGTAATGGTAATGGTAATGGTAATGGTAATGGTAATGGTAATGGTAATGGTAATGGTAATGGTAATGGTAATGGTAATGGTAATGGTAATGGTAATGGTAATGGTGATGGTGATGGTGATGGTGATGGTGATGGTGATGGTAATGGTAATGGTAATGGTAATGGTAATGGTAATGGTAATGGTGATGATGATGGTGATGGTGATGGTGATGGTGATGGTGATGGCGATGGCGATGGTGATGGCGATGCACCCCTTCTGGCCACGGCACCTCATCGCCATTGAGCGAGCCCCATGAAGCTGTGGTGATGTATCTGCCTCGCTAATAAATCTAATTATATCGTGTGACCCACGGGACGGTTTGGTGTGGTGGCGTAGGGTGGCCTTGCAGGGGCACCGGCGCCACCGCACCCTGGCATCAACCCCATTATGGCGGCCGCGGAGGCGGCAGCCGCCGCAGCGGCTGTAGCAGACATGAATTTGCTACAGCACGCTGAGGCCGCGGCGGCAGCGGCCGCGGCGG